TTACTTTGTACAACTCCATAAAGTTCACCTACCATTAACTGAAAATTTAAACACATTTCACAGGAAAAAAAATTCAGTATCTTGCTTAGCAAATTTGTCAATGGATAAGGAATGACTTACTCCAAAGTATTTTATATATCCAGTTTTTCTTAATGTTGAATAGGAGTCTGAAGAAAGTTGTAAATAACATTTTTCAGTAGAATGCTTAACTCTTTTCTACTATTTTCTGAAATCCTAGTTGTTATTAGCTTTTCTGATCAGAGGCAGTTCTGTCTAGTGTCCATCAGTGTTATCCTTGAATTCAGAAATTTGATAAAGAGCCCGGTGTTAAGAACTTCATCTCCCAAAGAGTTCATACTGAGCTCTTAAATGTGTATGTTGTATATTGGTTCCCTGCTGCTTACAAAGACCAGTAGTTCCGACTGTAAAACAGCCAAGGTAGCTGCTTTTCTTTCTTGCTAGAATTAAATAAGTTAGAATAACTTCGCTACCGTATTTAAGTCTTTGCTGTGGTTGTCTAAATAAAGTGTATTTCTTTTTACATCTCTGTATAAGCGACTAAGTCCAAAAGTATCTGTGCATTTATACATATGCATACACAAACAAACATACTCCACATCTTTTCCTAAATGGAATAGTTTGCTTTTAAAAACCAATTGCTTATAAATGGACAAAGATGCTGTGCATATTAAAAATACTGACTTTTTTTCTGCCATCTAGACCTGGAATAAGGTAATTTGTATGGGTGGGGTTTTTTGTTTGTGTTTTTTTGTTGTTGTTGGGTTTTTTTATTAATTAGAAAATGTAAAAGCAGATGTAAAGGACTGTGGCTGTCAAGATAGATCTTTGTAGCCACAGTTCTTCAAACTGCTCATTCTGCTCATTAAATTGGTAACAAGGCAGCACAGAAATGCTAATTTGCTATGTGAAAAAGGCAAAAGCAGTTAAAGGTTTAGCCTTTACAAAGCTGTCTATTTATTTATTTATTTATTTACATTGTTGGGAAAAGGACATCTGATGTCCACACATCAGATTTGAGAAAGCAAGCTATTTTTTACGTCACCTTTGTGTGGTTATTGATCCAAAAGCTTAGGTTCCAAGCGTAACTGCGATGATTATTCTGCAAGTCGGTGCTACCAGATCTCTGCACTGGATCCCACAGCATTACAAATTTTGATTCACAAACTCTGTACAGATTCAGACGCACAGTAGAGTCATATTCTGTCAAAGTAACCAGGGTATGATCTGAAGTTTCTCAACCTTTCTTACTTGCCAAAGGACAGAGAAAATGAAGTCTGTGCTAAAGCCTGTCTGCCCATACAAAGGCTGTTTTTAGATGAAAATTTTGAGCTGGGCTCGCCACTGAAAAAATAGCTTTACTGGGCGCAACTGGGTGTTTGCGTTCCAACACAATTCCTTGCTTGTGTCAGCCTGTTTGTGATGTCGTACAGGGAACTGATTGAGCTGGCTGAAAAATAACCCGTTTTGAGGGGAGGAGGGAAGGCTATTCATTTTTATCCACGTTAGTTTTCAATTCAGTACTAAAAGCCCTACTATCAGTTTTCTTGTATTCTTGAAGCTGCCGTCTGAATAGCTCTAAAATTTAGAGGTTCTTTATCTGCGTAAATTAGCCCAACAATTCAGTCTGCCTGTTGACAGTGCAGTGATGTCATGTCCCCTTTCAGCACGTCCTTACTCTTGATCTGCAACCCAGCAGGACCACACGAAACCCTCAAAAAGGCATGATTTGGACTGGAAAAAATTGCTAATTTACAAATCCAATTTTTTGGACGCTATTTCTATTCAAGATTACACCACTGACGAGTACAAGTTATTTCACTAAAAGTCATATTCTTTATTAGCTGTCTTAAAGAAGACAAGACTTCCGTGCATCTTACAAACCCTCCCTTCTGAAGCAATCCTGTTACACTGACTAGTAAGTTTCTGTCTCTACAACTACCTGAAAGGAGATTGTAGAGAGGGGGGGGGGAACCTCTTCTCGCTAGTAACAAGCAATAGGACAAGAGGAAATGGCCTCAAGTTACGCCAGGGGATGTTTAGATTGGATATTAGGAAAAAGTTCTTCACAGAAAGGGTTGTCAAGCATTGGAAGAGGCTGCCCCGGGAAGTGATGGAGCCGCCGTCCCTGGAGGTATTTAAAAGACGGGTAGACGTGGTGCTGAGAGATGTGGTTTAGTGGTGGTTTTGGCAGTGTTAGGTTGATGGTTGGACTTGATGATCTTAAAGGTCCCTTCCAACCTAGACAATTCTGCAATTCTGTGATTCTATGAAGCTAATTGGAGCACAGGAATTTATCAGTTGACTTGCAAATGTGAAACTCGCTTCTGAAGAGAACAGGGTAACACCACGTTGTCCTTAAGAATGACATGAGAAGCCCCTCAAGAATGAAAGGAGAAGCCTAATTCTTCAATAGCTTCCCTCTGATAACATCGGAAAGCTAAATTAGACATGAAAGTAAGACAAACAATGAGGAACAAAAGGAGAAATGAAAATTGTGCGTATTTCCTACAATTCCTATATTACTGAAATAGGAGAAGAAACAAGATTTAAACATTCATGTGAACTTTTTATACTTTCAGTTTGTATTTAGTTGTAAGCAAGAAAACAAAAAATGTACTTTTGGTGCCATGCTTTTATTTAAATGAAAGGAAAAAACTACACTGTACCACATAAGTAGCAATGACAATATTTTACAGCACAGCATTTGAAAAAATATGGAAGCTATGCTCCATAGAAGTGGACAAATAAGCACACAATACACTGTACATTTTGCAACAGTGCCCATTAAATCATAATTAAATAGCTGAATTTGGCTTTAAACAGCCAAATAATAAAAACTAACAGTCGTACTAACATTAAAAAAAAAAAAATCAGTAGCTATTATGACTGTTAGAATATGAAATTTTGCTCCAAAAACTAAGACAAGAGTTTGGCAATTCAGTTGTAGCAACAATAATAATACCCCTGATGAAAGCACCAGTGTGTTCTGAAAAGGTCAGTGATAAATACTGGCCTTTATGGAAAGCTTCCTTTTTTTTTTTTTTGCTTTTTTCTTTTTTTTAAACATGATCCCAACCAAAGATCCACTGTAATTAGAAAATCTGCAGGCTTAAAAAGGAAAAGCGTATCTAGCTTTACTTTTCCTGTATTAAGTAAAACTTTATACTGCGAGCAATTAAATTTTCAACTGCATTATTCACATTCTACTTTTAGACATTGCACAAATCTTTAACCTGTTGACAAATGTAAATTTCATAATACATTCAGATATATTTAAAATGACTCCAAGAATTCCTGTCATGTATTTAAGCTCACTTTGATTCGATTGATGCGTGTCTCCTGGTGGTGTTGCAAACCTTCAGTTCAATCATAGTACAGATTTTAGAAATAAAAAGCCTCCCATTCTAAAACTTCTCTTGAAGTTATTCACTGTATGTGTATCAGTTAATTCCAACCTCCTGGTTTCTTGAATCACTGTATATTATACACAGTTTCATATTGTTATTCAAGATGTTCCTACAACGGTATTTGTAGGAACTGTCTAACAGGCAGAATGTGCAAACCCTCTTTCCCCCTTTTTAATATTATTTATAGCCTATATATACAATATGTATACACTTGAAATATAAGAGTTACATATCCTGGTGATATACATGCAAACAGTAGGAATTCAGCTAACCACAAATAGTTTTGCGCCACATACATATTAAACATGTATTTTAAAGTGTTTTTTCTTTTTTTACAGTTTTAACAAATATACATAAATATAAGAACATAAATTACAGTAAAACTGACAGCATTTTTGAGAAAATGTTTGTAACCCAGATGCATTGATGCCTAAGGCCTTATAATAATTTAAAAAAAAAGTACTGTTCTAAACTGTTTAATGACATCTCATTCCTGTGCATCTTTTATATAAGTAAATGAGTACATCGTTGTAGTGAGGCATAGTTTCTCTCAAAGCACTTTAATGAGAGAAATATGAACATAGTTTTAGTCTCCCCATGAAACAGAATGGACTACATACTTATAGCACAATACTGTCTTATGTTAATGTAGTTGTCACAACACTGAAACAGAACAGAATCACAAATCATTCAAGTCTTTTCCTGAGAATGAGATTTTTTTCCCCCAACAAATCCTCTGGTGTACGTTATCAAAATAGCCACAGATTTAGGGGAGGCTTCAAGTTTGTAGTTGGTTTTTTTTTTTTTTTTTTCAGAACAGTGCTATGTAAAAAGCAAATTATAAGAGAACAAACACTGAAATGGAATAGTGATCTATAAAGTAATCAAACACTGTTTTGAAATAAAATGCAGCCCTTTATAACTAATACTGAGTACGCCTAGAGTTTGTTTTTGTAAATGGTCATATTTTAATTTACTGAAATGTCATTTAGGCTTTTTTGCCAAATGTATTTAAAGTCGCTAAGTGTCACAAGACATCATCTGTTAGATAGTGTCAAGAAAATAATTTACTAAGACACATTGAAAATTCTTACCAGATGTCTATTCCCTAGAAAATTGATTTAAGTCTGAGCTGGCAGATCTGAAGGCAGGAAGAACAGACAGTGGCCTGGATCTTTAAATCAATGGGCATTAGATACACAACTTCTGAAAGATCTGTGACTTAGTGAATTCTGTGATTCTCCTGAATATTTTTTAGTGTTCTGTCAGGCAAACATCAGGGATCTAGTTCTGAATGTTTCACAAGTTCCTATTCCTTCCTTGGACAAGCAGTACCTGACTGTGTGCTAGCTCTTCATCTGGAGCAATGCAAAATACTGCACGTTTGCTTAAACTCTTTTAGAGGTCTTATCAAATCTTTCTACTTTGCATTTTAATGGTATTATGAACATGCACATGGACAGTCATTACATCTCAGATGGCAACTTACCGAAACAGGAATAATTGCATCACCTAACTATACCCTGAGTTGTTAAATAATTCAGTTGAAGGAAACTTCAAGCAGTTCAAAGGTTTTTCCTTTGATGTTTAGTCTATAAGCAAATCAGTATTATTTAATTGAAAAAGAATTATAAATAATCAGGGGAATGAATCTTGATTTTGTTACAGCACACAGTAAGGATCTTGCAGAACAGACCCACTCAGCTGTTCTTCAGTGACATACAACTTCTCATTTAGTCCTTACTGTAAGTCAGTATGCAAAGTTCAATGGTATCGAGAATATTAAGTATTTCTTTAGTGAAAGAAAAAATATTTCGAGACAAGCACAAATACAAACATATAAGGCAACAGATGTAAAAAAATGTAGTTTGAGTCACTAAGAGGAACATTCAGTGCTTCAGTGTATCTAATCAAAATACAGAGCAAATATACTCTATATATTGTATTAGCACATACAAATCTCCACACAAGTCAAACATTTCCGTAATCACTCGTAATTATTCACCTAAGCGATAACCTTCTGCACTCCTAAACACTGTGTTTACATTCCAGTTGGACATGATAATAGAACTTGGTGTCCAGTTTTAAGTTCGAAGAGTCTTGTTGGCAACTAGAAATCTATTTCCTATAGGCAGTAAAGATGAAGTGCAAGTTTATCACAATTGTCTCAAGCAAATTTTTTCCCGTCTACGATGCCTTGGTGGGTAAAAGTTTCTTCGGAGTTACGGGTCTCTTGGTTTGCCACAAATGGCTGTGAATGGTAATTGCATCAACACTGGCAGACAAAGTTTTAGCAGGTATGTGGCTAAATTGCTTCCTGTCAGAGTTGTATTTATACAGTCCCTCTATCATTTTCTTTGTGATAGATTTGGGACCTATTCCCGTTAATTTATTGATTTCTTCTGTATCAGGGCAGTATGTATAGAGAGATCTGAACTGGCAGCCTGAATCCCGGAACAAGATTAAGAAATTATTTGCATCGGATTTTTCCATTTCCTTTAAAAGAAAGAAAGAAAAAGAATCACAATATGAATTTCGCATTGTAGTTAGAAAACAGTCAAAATCATGGGACTGTCATTTTAAATTTGTTTTCTACCAGAGCTGAAACTTATGTCTAACTCTGTTGACTAAAAGACCTTATTTTCAATCATTAGAATTTGCTAAGCCTCACTTAGCTGAATTTTAATAAAGTGGCTATCTTTCTCAAGCAAAACCTTATTTAAACAATTTCAGCTACACTTATTTAGTCGTACCTCAAGAACAGACATCCTAGTCGGTTTTTTTGTAGACCAGATAAAAATTCTTTGATCCATTTCATCAGGCAGGTCCAATAGTTGCAAGTTCGGGAACAGGAAGTTTAGGTATGCCTAGATATGCCTAAAAGATCCTCCAGTGCTAACATGGGGTTTCAGTCATCCCTAAATCCAGTCAAATACTGTTGTGAAATTTGTTCTGTAAAAGGAATTAATTCCAGATTCCAAGTACCTGTGTTCTTTGATCTATTTAATCTGCCAAATTTGTCACAGTTGGTAACAGGAAAAGTCCCATTACTCTCAACCCTCCGACTCTGTGTTACTCCTTTTGCATGGAAACATGCCAGTCCCTGAGTTCTCACCTGTACAATATTTGTGCACCTTTAGCAAGGTTTATACTAGCATAAGAGAAAAGGCTGGAAGGCGCCTTTCTGTAGTAGAAAGTCCTGAATTTGCCCTACTGCTTGGAAACTGGAGAAAAGCCTAGGAGGGATGTACTGCAGTTCCTTCTGTTCAGGAGCGAGCTGTGCTTTAGCTCTAAAGGTCCCGGTGTGAGGATCTCCGTGTATAAGATGGGTATTTAGACATTAGAGGAAAAAAGTTTGTGAGCAAATGATAAAAGTCTACATATTGAAGTTCCCCCATTAAACAAGTAGTAACTATTAACTAACATCAATTAATTCAGCTTCCTGTGCTGCTCGTAAAACACAACAGCTATTGTTCCTACAGTACTAGAGAACCTTTCTGCCTACACAGGAAGCAAGCCACAGAAGTTAACTTATTGCTCAAGCCTTTCTCTAAGAGCTAGCATAACCTCAGAAGATTCCTTTCAATATTTGCATTTATACCTGAGTGTCTTCCTAATGCCCGACTGTGGTTTGACTTAGGTGTTTATGCTTTTAGGGGAAAAATACCCTTACCTCCAGTATCTTTTTCTTTTGACCTTCATTAACTTTTCCAGCCAAGCAGCAATGTGCCAGCGCATTCTGAATTATATACTTATTGGATTTAGCACTGGGTTCTTTGAAGAGCTTTGGTCCTATGGAGGAGGAATGACAAATCAGCAAAGTTAATCAATAAGCCAACAAAAGAGTTACTTTAAATGCTGTGAAGCACTTCTGGTATGGATCTTTTGCATGGATAAAAATACAGATCCAGGAATAAAACAGAATTAGGCTAGAGAGCACAAATTTCACAAACAGGAAAAATGTCATTCTTGCAGCTAGTACTGAATTTGCTTACAAATGTGTCTTTCATTATTAAATCATTATTATTGGCAGTCTTGGTAAATATATTTTTTCCTCAGAGGACTTTCTCCAACAAACACCAAAACGTTTTGTGTTTTCTAACTAAAATTTCAGTAGTCCAGGAGGGAGCAAATTCTTTCTTTTTCATCTATAGCTGTGATTTGAAGGGTTAGAGGTACAGCAATGAGGCTGATACAGTGCTTAATGTAACTGTAGCCTGCCCATCTTGGAATTCCAGAAATGTTTTCCCTAAAACCAGGGATAAAAGATCTGGCCTGACACTTGTGAGGTTGTTCTGTCTGTAAAAAGACTTGGTTCATCTGCTTGAAGGAGAAATCTCCTCTGTTTTAGTTTCTGAAATATACGCATACTTGTGTCAAGACCATTTGAAAAAAAACCAAGTACCAATTCTGAGTCTTAGAAATGAACATAAGATACAAGCAATTACCAATTAAATTTAAGATTAAATCTCAGTTTGTCTATGCTTTGGGAAAAAAAAGCCTAGAATCAACACAAAAAAGCTGTATGAAATCTGACTGACAGAGTGAAGATACTAAAACATGTGAAAAAAGCCTTCTGTTCTATTCCTAGGAACTGTATATTGCTTCACTGAAAAACAAACTCTACGTAATAAATATTAAAAGATGATCTTCAGCACTATGGGTATTCATGAGAAAATTCTGCGAGACCACACAGGCAAAGTCTCACTATCCCTGCTGTAATTTAATTTGACATGCGTGTGGCACAAACTGACAGAAGTTTCATGATTTAAAAACTCTGATTTTCAGAGTCAACCCTTTGCCTTTCCAGACTGTAGTCATTTCAGTGCAAAGGAGATAACATTATTTTCAAAACAAACGTTTGCCAGCACAGACAGAGCTATGCAGCCCCATCAGTCAAACCTGATCTCCCTAAAAGTTGATTGAAAATACCTGACATTATTTTACTCTTTACCAAACAAAGTGATATTAGGTGGGCAAAAATGGAGCTTTTATAGTCCTGATGATGCAAGGTCTTTGCAACATCAAGTTCTGTATATTTGGAGAAAAGAGATGAAGACACCATTATTGTTTGATTCATAATATAGTAAAGAATTAGAAGTGAGGTTGTAAAGTTTTTAATAAACAGCAAAGGATCTGTTTGGAAACAAAGGGTGCAGTATATTTAAATTCATATAACTGAGCAGATTTCTTTTTCCTGTTGTAATTTGGTTTTTGCTTTTTGTAACTCTATTCTAAATTGAGCTTAAATTTCAACTCTGCGTGCCTTGCTGGAGCGCACAGTCATCTGTGAGCCCGTTTGCTGTTCTAAGCCTAACTGCAGTTTATTATGGTTATCGCAAATGCTACCGAGCCAGTACTTTTATTTTGGATTTAAAATTTTAACCTTATATTACTACCATCTATTTTAAAGGAGGTTAAAGCAACATTTCTATGAAAGTGTCCTCAATCAAGTTTTAGGAAACCAAATAAAGATAACTGAAAACTTTTCATGCATAGAACCACTAATAGCCAGGCACTTTTCTGAATATTGTTGTCGCTGACCTGTGTATTCTGTAGCAGAGGCGACTGATGAAGTCGTAGATGCGTTCTCCCAATCTTTTTCTCCATTACGACTACCACAGCGACTCGGAGATAAGAATCCTTCCACAGACTCAGACCTAAACATTAATTTTAAAATCTATTAAAAAAAATTATGATGTTCAGCAGAGAAGCGTTCTAATATGAAAGGAAGTCAAACTGTACTGAGGTAGAACACAATGATTTGAACTGTAGGCTATAAAACTAAGTGCACAATATTTACAGAAGAAATTAACAAGTAACTTAGTTCATGTTCTGTATCATGCAGGAAGTTGGTATTTAGGTGAGGTGGATATTAGTAAACACATCTGAAGGACAGAAAGCTAATAGATATTCTAGGCTGTGCAATATTACTACCAAGTGGGAATTTGGGTTACTTTTACATCGTTACTAGCAAAACAATGTTATCTCATGTAGCAAACAAGAATGATGAATGTGAAGTAAAAATTCAGTTCACTTATACTTCTCACTGCCAATTGTGGTAACAATAACTGCTGTATTTAAGATAGCAAAATAATTTCCTTTCTAAATTTTGTTTTCACAGGCAGTAACTTCTGGTGCTGTAACTCTTTGGGTTGTCCTGGTTCTTGCAGGGACAGCGCTAATTTTCATAAGAGGCTGGGATGGGACACAGCCTGGACAGCTGACCCAAACTAGTCAAAAGCGTATTGGATACCATGCGATGTCATGCTCTGTAGATAGCTGGGGGAGCTGACCAGGGGAGAGGGAGGGCTCAGGCAGGAACTGCTGCTCGGGAGCAGGCTGGGCATTTCGGGTTCCGTTTGGTGAAGAGCTGTGCATTCATCATTTTAATGTATTTTTTTAATCAGTATTATTGTTGTTTTCCTCTTTCCTTTGCTGTTCTGTTAAACTGTCTTTATCCCAACTCACAAGTTTTGCCTTTTTCTTCCGGTTCTCCCCCCACCCCACAGGAGGTGGTGAGGAGTGAGCAGCCACGTGGTTCTTTGTTGCTGGCTGGGGCTAAACCACGACAGCACTCAAATGTGAATAGTTTTGCATTTAAAAGTCTAAGCAAGATTGTCATGTTTTCTGAAATTATTACAAGATATTTACAGGTTTTTCCGATTGTGGTTACTGCAAAAGCCAGTCAAGTGTTCTCTTTTTATTTCATTTTCAGGTGATTTTTAATGCAAAATAAATTCTGGTGTTTGGAAAAGGCTGAAGTCCTACTGAACATTCAATACTTCCCTGTACAGCTGTCAAGGGGAAAAAATCAGAAAAGAAGCTTCTGTGTTAAAAAAAGAAAAGAAGCTATGTAGCTGCACGTAGCATACAGGTTTAACAAAACATCCACAAGTTGAGACTTAAATACAAGCAGGTGAATTAAAGAGGCTGCGTGAAAAGCATTTTGGTTTGACCTCATTTATAGCTGCCCAACTGGTTTACTTAGTTAAATTTGTGAAACAAATGATCGTGGCTTAGTTGCCTAATGCCTGACAGTGGAAACTATCAATGTCTCAAATCAGGAAAACATACCTGTTCTTGGAGTACACAATATATACACGACCTCTTTAAAATTCATGCTAGTTTTAAATAGCTGATTATCAAGTGTTATTACATGAAACGGTTATTTTAGCTTTACCTTGGTGTTCTCTTGCCTGACTGCACACTCTCATTGTCCCCTGTATTCAGCGATGCCAATGAAAGACTAGATACTGAAAAAACACGATAAAGCTGTGAACCTGGATAAAAACAAAGTTAAGGCTTATAAACCTATGCAAGTAGCAGAGTCTGTTCATTAGACCCAACACCAGCATCCATCAGAAAGGCAGTAAGAGCTTTTATATACGAGACTCTTACACCCATACATGATATACCTGCATGCATATGTGCTGCACTTCATCTAAACACTTGCTGACACACCCAGCCATTTGCAGCCACCTGGGATGGTCTCGGGCTAAGCGTTAATGAGAAGTATGGACATGGGAATATTGGCACCATGCAAATCAAAGAATGCAATCAAAGTTAATAAGTACTCATGAAAGAGAGCTTAAGAGTCTTAATTTAAAGCTTGGGATGGATTCTTGGAAGGTGTTAAGGAACACGTTAAATTACACTGGAAGACAGAGGGAAGCAGCTAGAGAAAATGCAGCAGAACGACAAGGCTGTACGATGCTGTAACAAAAAGGATCACTGAGCAGTCTGCTTACTTTTTCTGATTGTAAATTGGCAATACTGCTTCCCATCATTACTACAGTTATGCGATATCTAAAAGAATGCTAAGTTGTTCCACACAGTTAGTGTTGCTATGTTCATAACTATACATGCACTAGGTAAGCAAGCGAAATAGAATAAAACAGGAAATATAAAAGTAACTTTTTAATTTTGATTTTGTCTGTATTAAGTGGGAGCTTAAGTACTCTTACCTTATAATCACCATTTTATTTACTGATCTCTTATCTCCCAACCTTTATTCATTCTTAACTCTACAGGTGCAAGAAGAGATTAGTGAAGAATACAGGGGTGTATATGAAACTTGCAACACACGTTGGTGCTTCCACTGGGTTTTCATACAGTTAACCTTTTTGTTTGTTGATATATGCATGCATGCATAGCAGGTAAGTGACATTCATCTTTTCATTTCTATTGGCAAATTTTGCCTTCCAGTTTGGTCCTGTGCAGCTGCAGTTGAGCACAAGACGCTTATAAATGCACGTGCTTGTTAGTACCAAAACACAAACTGGTGTTTTAGCATGAACAGACTCTTTTTCCACATGAACGTTTGTTACCTGGTGGACCTTTGATTGGTGTCTTAGGTGATTCAATATGATCTCTATGAATGGATTTCGGACGTGGCTTTTTTTGTTTGATTGAGAGGGAACGCGGCTTTATGACAGTATCCATTTCTTCCATAAGCTTTAGTTGTTTCCTTCTCATATATTCCTGCTTAATAAATTCTCGCCGTGCTCGTTCATCTTCCTTCTTCTGACGTTCTTCTTCTGTTTTGCGTCTAAAAAACATTATCAAATAAATTCAGCAGTAGAAACTTTCCAAATTAACAGTTTTAGCTAGCACAGTGAGGACAACAGAGGTATCAGATTTTTGTAACTTCTGAGTTCTCAGACATCAGTAAAAGGAACTTGGTTTTTTTTTACAATTGTCAGACAGTTTAAACTTTTTGGGATACTGTTACTAGTAAAATCAAACCCATGTTTATTAGCTTGACTGCTGTAACAGAGTGAGCATTCTGCGTTTGTCCAGAAAGGAGCCCAAAGTGACAGACTCTCCCTCAGAACATGAAGTGCAGGGCAGGGTGATGCTCTGAGGAGCTTCATTCAGGCCAGCAGGGCTCATATGTCGAGTCTGAGCTACAGACTGATGCCACCTGCTGATTTTGCAGGACCAGCTGGCATGTGTCTTCAGCTGGGCTCCTCAGCACATCTGGCTCTAGGATTAAATACCCGGGATATTAAGATGCAATTTTTTGACATGAAAGTTACGCTTTTAACTAAGTCAGACATTTTCACGTTCACTGTTACTGATCATTTGGATTGGGACATGTAGTTTTACCTTGTCTCTTCCTTCTTATGTTCTAGTTCTGCTTCCAGCTGCTGCTTTCGAAGCAGAGTCTCTCTATTTCCCTTCTCAAACGCTTCTCCAATAATGCTGCTCGTTTCATTGCCATATCGTTTTCTGCCTTTTGATCATCCTAGCAGCAACAGCATTTGAAGGAAAAGGACCCAAAAATATTAAGACTTCTGAATTCAGCAACTGATTTTGCCAAGTCATTAGACACTTAATTCTGTACACTGGGTTGCGATATCCTAACACACTTTTGCAGTATTTGAAATAAGATTCTTTGAAAAGATTTTTCTTAAGACTACTAAAAACTTTTCATAAAGCAATTTTTCCTTCCCAAGTCAAACAAAATTCAACACTGATATGAGAAGACTTGCTTAGTGAAATGTTTTAGTTTAGAGTCAGATCCCACACTGCATAAACTTCTGCATGCAGCTTCAGAAGATTCTACGTGTATGAAGATGAAGGTAATTTATCACAAAAAGCAGTAGCTATGCAGCATATGGAAGTAACTTCTGCTGATCAACCCAGGTGTTTTGTCAGAACTGAGGAATGCTTTCAGACAAGCAAAGCACATCTCAGATACGTGATACAAGATTTTGGGGCATTCCAAGATGGAAATTAAAAATCTCAACAGCTTTCAGTGTCTAGACAACAGGGAGTGCTCCCAAACACCAACTTCAAAAGGGAGTCTCGGAAGACTATACTTCCTAAGCCAGCCAAGACAGGAAAAAAGGCTCTCCAAAGTGCAACTCAGAGGCATTCAACATTTTAAAAAATGCAGGCTGTTATGTGTTTCAAAAACTTTTAATTAAATTTGGGGGTGGGACGGGAAGCGAGGGTGAGATGTAAGCATGTTTAAGGTCACCAAAGCTTATGTTAAAAATCTACATTCAGCATGCATCGTCCTCACCAAAAACTCCAAGCACTCTTCCATAACTATGAATGGAAAGGGATACTCTGGCATGCTCAGAACTGCAGTATGGCAGAATCTCACCACTCTTATGATGCCACCTTAGTCATCAAGTGCAAAAGATATGCTTGTACATTTAGAGCTGCAGAACCATCTGCTTTGACTTCAGTTGAAATCTATCACTGAAACCCATATCTGAATTAAGAATTTCCTTTTCAAAGAAAGCTTAATAGCAGACATACATATCCACTAGTTCTCTTACCTTAAAAAAGAATCCACAACACACTTTCTGGTCATCCTCAAATTGTTCTCTATCACTCTCACCTTCATATTTCTCAACAGATACTTCATTTTTTTCTGGTGGCTTCAAATCCGATAGGGAAACTTCAATTAAGTTAGCTGTTTTGGGAGCTGGTGTTGGTAAAATCGGTTGGCTTAGCTGATCTTCATTTGGGGTGAGGCAGACAGTTTCTGTGATAGGCTGAGATAATACTTCAGAAACATTAGATTCAATAGGCTTAATCTCCTTTTCCTCCAACTTCTGTTCACACTGTTTCAGCAATTTTGGTCCTTCTTCTTTTGCTCCCTCTTCTGGAGGCTTGACTTCCTTCAAAAGATTTCCCCTTAACTGAGGTTCACCTATATTTTCACCATCATCTCCAAAGCAAACAAATGATCTAGTCTGAATGGGAACCTGACTTGGAGAAAATCTCCTCAAACGGGGAAGACTATCCACAGACCGCGGGGCAGTCAAGGTACGATTTAGAGGTGTTATTTTCAGTTCATTTGGCCTAGGAGTCCTTTGCATTTTAATGTGAAAAGAGGCACTCTTCCTGTTGGAAGACTGTGGAGACTGATGTGTAGAGCGAGGAGATTCTTGTGAGAAAGGTGCAACAGGAGATGGAGTTCCCATTTGCCTTGATGAAGACTTAAAGTCCCGAATCTGTTTCTGAGGAGACGGCTGAGGAGGAGAAATAACCCAAGCCTGTTGCTCTCTCATCTGCATCAACATCTCCTGTTGAAGGGACAGACGTTGCATTTCTTATATCTCCTTCATTAAAATTTTCTTCTGAGGGGCTTGCTAAATTCCATTGCTTTTCAGCATCCATGGGAGTAGCAGGAGATTTTAACCATTTGCTGTGAGAATTTTCAGGGGTTTCTTTTATTAATTCTGAAGTCTTACTAGTTTGTTCCTCTGATTTTTCAGTTTCTTTTTCTTTCAACCGATTACTGTCAGTGAATATCTTCTCATCTTCAGCTCCTGCTGCCTCTTCTCGGAGAGGTGATACTCCGTCACCTTTCTTTTTCACAACATTTAGAAATGCTGTTCTTCCCATTTTCTGCCGCTGCTTTGTGAATGCAGCTTCAACCTTCTTCTTCTGTGCTTCAATGGCTCGTCTCTTTTCCTCTAGCTTCATCCTAAGATGCACCATTTCAGAAGCCAGTAACTGTGTAGTGTCTCTTCCTTGAGGAACAGATGCCTCCTCGGGAATATGAGTCCAAGCAACCACATGAGGGATGTTCAGCTCAGAACCTTCTGGTGTGGTTTTCTGGGAACTGCTTCCACTGCTTCTACTATCAGTATGATTCAACTTCCTGAATTTCTGCTCTGCAAAGCTAGTCATTTTAACCCCTGAACTTGAAGAAGCACTGCTGCCTGCCTGTGATTTAGTACTTACTGAGCTGGGACAGGGACTTAATTGATCTCTGTGATTGCTAGCTCTCATGTCATAATCCTGGAGAAATTTAGATGGTTCTTCCATGTCAGAGTCCATGCTTACAGTATAATCTCTCAAAGAAGAATCCTCATCCATCGTCTCTGGAATATCTTCCGAAGGGACATGTATTCCGGTATCTACTTCTGTATTGTCAGTCACAGGACTCAGAGCACCTTTTGTGTCTGTAATTATATCAGGGGTAGACTGATTTGGTTTAATGTTTGAATTCAAGATGCTCATTTCCTGATTGTGAAGGAAGAACCCATTTGTAATTTGGTCTGGTCGGATAACTCTGGGAGATTTTTCAGTGTCATGAATTATCTGCAAAGCTTCTTCAATGCTTGGTGTCTCAATCTGATTGCCAAAATCATCCAGAACTGCCCTGTTTTGCAGAGCTCCGTTTGGAAACCTGTAGCGGCTGCTCTCATTGGCATTTTTTTGATTTGTGTTAAGAGACTGATTGACCTTTGTGTCTTTATGAGCTATCACGTCCTTTTCCTCTTCAATATCTTGGTTTTCCTCTTCTCCATTTACTGGTTTGAATGACAGATTTTTTCTAATATGTTTCGGCATGCGGTTGATGTTTACCGTAAGGCCTTCATTGCTCACAGATCTAGTAATTCCTCTGTTTGGAGTAGACACCGGAATGCTTTTTTCTTTGTCAAAGGAAATGTCAAATGAAACTCCGTGTAATGATGACCTAATAGAGATTAGAATAAAGGAAATAACTGAGCAACTCATGTTTAGTAATAATGAAATATTCACATTCGGTCATTCAGTTTTAAAATTATTTTAAGATCGTAGTATTAAAGGCACTGCTAAGTGTACTATATTTTGCCTAGCCTCAAACATAATAATATAATATATAAATACACACATACATTTATATCTATTTCATAAAGAGCTATACATACAATAAATGAAAAATGCACAATAAAATAGAATATAAAAGCATTTTCTTCAGTGATAGCCAGTGCTTGTTATTACTTTGGAATAAATTCTGTGTGTTTCAGGAATATAGGAATTGCCATAGTAGATCAGAAGGAAGGTGTGAAGAGATACACTGTTTATACTTACTGAATAACCCACCATTCTAACTCTTACCATTTTAACTTTAGTTTACACCCTACAGATTAAGAGTTTATGACCAGTCTAACTGAAAACCAAACCATTCAGCCTGACTGTTCTTACTATCCCCAAAATAATACAAGTTTAAATACTACTGAGCTCATTAGCCAACTCTTACCACTTTTCGTTGATTGCGATGAGTAAATGTGAACATCTTTAATGGCAACAATGCAAATACCTAAAATATATCTCATTTCAATGTAAAAAATAGATTATTTATTTCTGATTTTTTTTCCTATTTCAGAGTTCTTAATCCATGATACAGTTTTCTCTTTCTACTTTTGCATGTCCCTTACAAGAACTCTTATTACAGGATTCTGAAAATCCAAACTACAATGCATCATTTATTACTATTTATGACCAAAAAGAATATTTTTTTCACCAACTCATATGGTAAGACTACTTACCTTTTTTCTTTGGGCCATGTCCCTACATGCCCATCTACATAAGACATTGATGTGGACCTTCTGATGACTCCTAAGTGAAATTAAAATAGAACCTAAGGTAACTGCTATGAAAAATTATTTTAACATCACCTTCTGCTGCTTTAACAAGTTAGTTTGCTTCACTACTTAGAACACTGCAATGATGACAAAGAAAAGTGTTTTTATATTGAAAATACAAGTAGACCAACAGAGTCAATTTCATCCTGAATATGTATTATGCCCCTCATCCCTGAAAGAATTTACTACTGAGTAAAATATACTACACATACTACTGAAATATACTACAAATACTTGCTGTAAGCCATATTCCACATAATCATAACAGAAGTAGAATTAAAAAAAAAACAATATAAGAGATACAAAAACAAACTTCCCATTTGTACATTTTACAAATTACAGAACTCATTCATTAGTGTTTCATGTAAAGCTCTCCCAGTAATTTCTGCATAAATAATGTTTCACTAAATATAAGCAAGATAGCAATTTACTCAGAAGATGACACCTTGTCTTACTGCCTCTTCCACCCATTTGTAAATTGTTACCTGGAACAGATGAGTAAGGCTGCTGGGGTGTATGCAGTTGGTGAGATGGCGTATAAGCTGGACTTTCCAATCTACAAAGCAAGCAACATTAACTTAGAAGTAATATATTAAAAGCCACATTACAAAAGGGCAACCAGACCTCATGTCCTGGGCCAACACAAAAACAGATTTATTTTTTGTGACAGGGAAGAAACTGAGGTGTAATTCTGTTCTTGAAATGTTAATTTATTAACTAAAAAGAGAATGCTGTTATTACCTTTAACTGGACCTAATGCAGGTAATTTGATAAGTCAAAAATACAAAAATATATTTCTCCTGCACAGATGGCCACAGAGTGGCATTAGTTTTGTTAACATACCTGATTTATTTCATGTAAATGTTATTATTAGAAGGTCTTCATTTTTATATTTGATTTTAGGAAAAAACCCAAACATAAGCATCAACAAAGGCAATTCCTACTGCCTCAAAACTGAGAGACTGTAGCTAATATCACATACTTTTCATGCATCTCTTTTCAGTTCCTTAATCTTAAACTTCTACTTTGTGTCTGGACCACAATATGCACTAGAAGCGGACAAAGGAGATTTTGTGATAGACATGACTTTGTAAACACAAAAAAAATATATTCATTACTAAAACAGTGTAATTACAAAGATTTCCTACATTTCTGCTTAGAACAGATACCTTTCTGTGGTTCACAGAGAAGGTCTGTAATAGACTAGAGCTGTGTTAATCCAGAATAGGATTAACATAATTCAATGTTTTGGTCAAGATGCTTCTTCAGGATCAGAACAAAGACACATGCATTTGTATGTAAAACACTTCTAAAGAAGCCAGACTTCAAAAACACGCTGGATTAAATCCTTTCATGTTTTGAATTTTGTTCACTGAGCTGAAGAGCAGACTCCCAAACTCCCTTTTTTCAATCAGTAATTTTCAAAATACATTTAGTGCTTTTATGGTTTATATACAATATGCTGTAGAAATGTTTCTAAATAGTATTTGTGGGAAGGATATTCACCTCAATTTAAGAAAAATATTGCTGTTTTACAATCTACAAAAGCATCTTTCATAAGTATATATTAAATTATTCAAAATAGGTTCTCATACATTATTGAATTTTTGTATTAATAGCTACATGAAATGTCTGTTTTAAATGGCATTTGAGATTTCTTTGAAAGTTTAAAAATCATAGATATAATCTCTATAAGTTATCTTAAAAGAAAAGCATGCTTTCAAAATTTCACCAAGCTGCCGATGAAAATTTGCTACCACAAAGAAAATCCATGCACTTCATTTTCCCTCAAGAAAAGACTGATTTTGGCACCATGACTGTGGTTCCATGGCAACCTCAGACATCGCAACTGCTCGCTGCCACAGTCCCACTCCCTCCTCTGCGCTGGATCTGGCTCTCCATCCAATCCTCTGAGTCATTTTAACAAGCGAAGCCAACAGAAAAAAAATCACTTTCTGACTGGTTTAGTTTTTTCTGTCTTTGTGCATTGAAATGACAGTGTCAAACACTCAAGGGGGCAAGAACGTGTAGTCGGGACAAGGAGGAAGGCCAGGACCACGGCATCCTGCAGTCAGGTCTGTTCTGCCTGGGAACCTGCAGCCTGTGTGTTAGATTCCTACCATCTCAGATAACTTCTTAGGCCCCTCCTTTGTCTTACAATGCAGTGAAGTATCATCAAGTTGGATGAAGTACACTGGTTTATAAGGAAAGATATAGCTCTTTCTATTATTCATGGATTGCTTTCATAATACTCCAACACAAAACCATATCCATCACTTGTAGAGACACTAAAACAGTGTTGTGATGAGCTAGTACAATACGCAACCCACCGCCCATAAGGGCTTTACAATGATTTTTACTATATCTCTGAACATGTCTCAGGAAACATAAGGAATATTGCAAAACACGTTAGTGGCAACTTACAGACTTAATAGTTAAATTTGGAATGATAATAGCACTAAGACACATAAAAGCTTTTATAAGTGTTTATGAATTGAATTCAGATGCTTATCATAAAACTTCCAATCAGTCCTCTTCAGTGAGGAAGCCAAAACCATCTGCACAGCCAAAATTTAAAAAAATTTAGAGAAAAAGTAGATTTGTTTGGATGAAAAAGATACTATGTTACTGACACAATTTGTCACAGCAGTGATCAATGCATGGTTAATGGCTTCAGCTGTGAGGTTGGTTTGGTTTGGTTTGGTTTTTACACAGTCAATGCTACAGATAGACTTCTCTTGTGTTATCCAGTATTATTCTACTAACTTTCTTTACATTTAAAGAAAATCTCCACAGTGATCACTACAGCACACGAGTAAGGATGGCACAGAACTCTGTTTCTTTAGTTTAATTTGGTCTTAAGTGTAACTGACATATGATTTACTATCTTCATAGAACTTCTAAAAGATAAGTCACTAAAATTTTGTTCATGAAGGGCTCTAAAAGGGGGACGTCAGGTTGGAAAATAGTGATTTTTACTGCAAACCTTTCATCAGGTTGGAAGCCACATACAAATAGTGATTTTTACTGCAAACCTTTCTTTGTTCTATAGGACAGTCATAGTTTTACAAGCCCTTTGTTGGACTGCTTGCAGTGCCTTTGCAAGGTGCAAATAGCCTTAGGCACCCCTGTTCCAAAACCTAAGTTCAAATACTGTTTCTAGTTCTCCTGGCCTCTGTGCTCAGTTTACACTAAAATAACTTCATTGTCTACAAGGGAAACACTTCAGATAAACTCAGGGAAAAGACTCGGAATCACAGCATTTAATGATAGTAAGAAATATTACTCCTTGATTACAGTCAGCATAGATTCCTAAATACTAAAAGAAACCAACCTCCCCCCACAATCAACCAAACACACCTCACCCCTGAAAGCCCCATCCAAAACCAACAGAAAAGGCTGTACAGGATTAGTTGGGTTGGCAACCAACAGTTTGCTGAATATACAATCAAAATGCTAATTTTATCCTTCTCCTTTGTGTCAGTTCAGACACAATCAATAAACCTTTGCCCTCAAATTATAAATGATGCTATGCTACCCCTCATCCCCTATGTTCAGATCAGATCACTGGAAGGCTTTCTTTAGCCTGTAAAAAGAAAGATTAAAAAGGCCTAATGAGCAATTTCTGCCTCTTATCAAATATGAGAACACAAGGGAAACAGGATGTTTTTTATATTCCAAATCTGTAACAGTAATACTAAAAATAATGTTTCACGTATATTTACAAAAATACAAATAATGCAAAACATATTAACAAAGCTGTTAGCTTTCCATTCTTGATGCTTACAAGACTTGGGAAGTTCATCATAACATAAGTAATTATTTTTACCTACTTGACCTTCATGGTACTTAAATAACATAATCAGACCAAACTAAAACCATCACTCAGTGGTTTTCTTGCTGTTATCTTAGTTTACTTTCTTCACTGGTTTGGGAAGATTTGCTGTGAATTCTGGAAAAATAGCTTTTTCAGAGCAGACTTGGTCAGCAGCGCCACACGAAATTGAAGAGGACAGGGAGGCCATATGACACTTCTCTGCTGAATCAGAAGGGTTGTTTTGGAAATTGGTAAGACAACAGCATGCTGTCCAAGTGGCAAACATGAATTGTACAAACACAAACACGTTGCCTGCCGTGCAACGGGGCAGTGGAGGAAATAGCTGGAACTATGGGATCTTCCACAAAATTCTACACATTATATTTGGTAACTCAAATCATTGAGCATTGCAAATAGGCAACAAAACTAAATAAAACCCTCCCGTGTTTGATTTTTAATAGAAAGGAGAAGATTGTGAAACTGTACTAGTGATTCTCTGACATTACCTGGCTACGAAGTCAGAACCAGATGGGCCATCCACGTAATTTCTTCTGCTAGCGTTCAAGCCCTGAGCAGAAGCTGCATCTTTTGCAGGTTCAGCTGCCAAGAAGAACAAAGCTCAAGTTATTATAGTTTAGTATTTAGTTAAAATCCATAGTAGAAAAGCTATCCGAAGTAATGTGAAGTAATGATTTCCAAAGAATTTAAGGATTTTCATTGGTTCTGTTATTGAGATTAAAACCCAGCCACTTCCTTGCAGCTTTACCTCTTCCAAAGTTCCCATATTGGTACTAATTAAGGGAATGGAGAATGACAAAAATGACTATAAAAGGCAAGGGAAAAATAATAAAGAAAAAAAATTTTAAAAAGAGCCACAATATTAAAAGGAAGCAATCTTTTTAGCCAAAAAAAATATTCTTCTTCCAGAAGAAATTTTTCTGATAAGAATATTTTTCCCCAAACCCTTAGACGGACTTTTCAGGTAGAAAACAGTATTCTGATCATATCCTAAATCAGTTAAAAGATTTAAATCTGATTTGTGTGTACTATAAAGCATATAAATAAGAAAAAAGGTATAAAAGCCACACAATGAAAATCTCTTCCTAGCTCTTGGAGAGGCAATCACAGCAGTACTGTCTGAATGTTTCAGTTACCATGACTCTGTACTCATTAACAGATCTCAAGATCTTCCTGAGAGGTGGATTTTTAAATTTGAGAATTTACTGATAGAAGACTCTGCCTTTGCACTTAGGTACAAAATGCAATTTTACAATTAAATATCTGTCTACTTTTCTCAGATTTATGTTCCTTTTTCTTGGTATCTTCTCAGCAATACAAGCTCTTCAGGCTAAATTCTATTCTTGGCTCCTTATTATGTTTGTAATCCCTGCATGGGCATAAACGGATTCTAAGCTTGTTTAGGTCAGGAAAATTTGCAAGTGATTACACCACAACAATTTAAATGAATTTTTGGTAATAGACAACAAAATCTAATTATGATTTATGAGATGAGACGAAGATTAACACAAGGAAAGAGTACTTTGCTCCTTCTTTAAGGGGGTTGTACACCGCCAAATCCTGTTAACGAAAATATTCACTGTATTTGTGAACACAATGGCAATCTGTACACACACATATTAAAAACATGCATGCTAAACCCAATCCTTAATATAATTACCTTGGGGATGCACAACAACACGAGGTTGTACAAATGATGGCTTCACCACTTCAAACCACCAGAACAATTCTGCCATGAACACCATGTAGTTGCTCTACAAAAAAAGAAAAAAAAAGAAATTTGTGTTAGAACACAAGCCTGTGAATAACTAGATTAAGCAGCATTCGGGATATGCCTCTGCATTTCATCCAGTTTACAATCTCTTCTCTACTGATTTCTTAGAAAATGAGATCAGTAAGACTGATCTGTAGCACCAACTATCTAATACACATAACTTGACCAGATTGCAACTGTTTGGGTTGAAATGTTTCATAATCAGCATATGCTCAGGCCTGATGTCCTGCAGGCAGGGCAGAGAGCTACATGATAGTTGGAAAAAGATGCCTGTCAAACAGATTAGCCATTTCCATAAAAAAAGAGTAGTGAAAAGCCCATTGTTTTGCAAGGCTAGGCAATAAAATTTTCGGAGCTTTTTAACATGAAAAACTCTGGTAGCCCTTAGTTTTAGGGCAGGAATTGTGATTCTGATTTAGGCTTTTGTGTCAAGTACATGGCTTTTTGCCACATTTGTGAAGATCTACCCAAATTTACAAGTCCTTAATGCAAAACAAAACCCAGCAGCAGCATTTGTTCAAAGCAGGTTAGAACAAGAGAAAGGTTTTCTCTCCAAAGATTTATGCACACTTAATAAATTGCTGAAAATTCTCCCTACGGTATTTTTCCATTACACAGCTATGAAACACAGAAGCATGGTAGCCATCAGATTTAACACAAGGGGAAAAACAGGTGAAAAGGAAGAAACAACTAGTGATGTGAAATGCAATAACAACAAAAAAATCAATAGAAAAAAAAGGCAGAAGCAGTAGCAGCGGTTTCAGCTGCAAAAGTATATAATAAGGAGTGCCAAAAGACCAGAAGTTTTGTTGACTGTGGAGGCCGATGAGTTCAGAGACCAAACGATCACAGACCTAAGCTGCTACATCCATATGGTTCAGTGCTACTTCATATCCAGAAATATCAATGAATGAGGTTAACGAGCATCCGGACCTGAGCTAGGTCAAGCACTCGCACAGACTTGTGCCACCAGTCTTATGAAGTCTGAAAAGGTAAATACAAACCTCTACTTACACATGAAATTGGGAAACCATAATTAAACAACTTTTTAGAACAGTTAGTTTAAAAAAAGAAAATCTTTCTGCAATAGAACCCAATAATGTCTAGTTAACAATACTTACAAAAGCAAGTGTCCTTAGTCACTTTTTTCATGTCGTTAACACTGAATAATTTCAAATATCTGGTCTATTTTCTCCATTTTATGCTATTTTCATTTAACATTTCACACAGCTTAAATGGAAAAATATAAATTAAAAAACTTATTGGTTTAATTTATACAATCTAACAAGACCATCAAGAGCACTTGCAACTTATAAACTAATACCGAAACCCAGAAATATTTTTCCGTGTGACCTTTTTTAAAAAATAAAGCTTTCTTAAATTTTGGTCCTATAAAACTTCCTGTGCTTGAGAAAATTAGCATTTTTACACTCAACTATCAGATGGTATGTCTCTTTTTATTTATCTTTGAGAACGAAATGAAGTGAAAATAGTCTCTCAGAGAATGTGGGAATTTATTTAATTATTTGCTTCAGAGAAGAGTTTCAAAGGAAACCAACGTCTCTTCTGAGTTTTGAGGTAACACAAAGAAGTCAGAGCTGATTTAGTAAAAAAGCAGACAATTACCTATTCCCCCCCCCTTTTCTTTCTTTCAAACAAATATAGGGAAAAATCTGCTTATAAGTAAAGGATATCAGTTGAGTACATAAAGTTACATGTTATGGGACAGAATTCTTAAACCTATTCACAAAAAACCCCCATGGCTTGCCCTGGTATTCTCTACTTGCTTTGGCTTCTGCCATCACCAAACTGTTGTGGGAAACAGGATATGGCACCAGGTGGACCTTTGGTTTGATCAAGGACAGCTGTTATTTTGTTTTTTAGAATGGAGTCGGCTTCTACATCATTTATATACCTGAAGATGATCTTCAGTATAGACTTTGCCATTATAGATATTAATAGAGCATGAAACATTCTCGTTAGCAGAGCACGGGACATTTTTCTAATTTCCAGCCCTTTGTTAGCAATAAGGCCTGCATTTATTTCCAAGAAAACCTTGCTGCAGATTAAGAATTGCATTTGGACACCTTAAACAAACGCACATAGTCTTTAAGAATTAGTTTAAACTTACAAATAGTTTACTCATTCAATTTCACACAACTCTGTAGGCAAGAGACCTACATATTCAACATAAATGTTATTTCTTTTCTGAAGGATTTTACAGGAACGAGGGATATTAAATATCAGCTAACAAATTGCAGTTATAAGAGTACAGCAAATGATTTAGCTGGCAGTTCTTTAACAAACAATCAGACAAATTCTGAGAAAGTAAAACCAGTGGTCTCTATTTTAACTTTTTATTTGTCCAATGAAAAAATTTTCTGGTTGATTCAGGCATGTATGGCTGCAAAGTCTGTAAGTCTTCTGTTGCCAATTCACCAGCTACAGCAGGAAAATCTAAGCAGAAAGATGAAGCTTTCTGTGATGATCCAGTAGCGAAGAGAAGAAAACTGCTTTGTATTCAATTCTGTATTAGTAAATTTGAAAATACAGTTTTAAATATCTATTTGACACTTTTGATTCAGATTTGTTTCTCCCGAATATTTCTAATGTAGATAAGCCTTTACTCCAGCAAAGGGATACTCTTAGACTGAAAGATGCCCATACGCTTTAGTATACGGTGAAGGGATCGGCCAGATGTTGCCATAGTTATTACATACAAGCTATAAATAGACTAGGAAAAACCCCGTCTCTGCTTATTCAGCAGAACAGAACTGAATGAGGAAAAGTTCATAGCAAAATCTTTTCCATTCAAAGAAAATGCTAAGCATAGCCTTTTGGTATCACACTGATTTCATTAAGAAGCAATATGCACCAAGAAAAAAGAGTATCAGATGTACTTCTCAGACAAAACATGATTTTTAATACTACAGTGTCTAAATATTACAATTTCTACAATTTTTCTCTTAATATTCCCCCTCAAATTTTCCATTTTTAACTTGATTTTTTTACTACCAATTATAAAATGTTCTAATCATACCTTTGTCTCCATATGAAATAATATTGTATTTAAATACTCCAATTTCTTATGTTTATGTTGAAATGTCGCATTTAATAGTGTGTGTATTTTATGAAGGACTCAGATATTGCTCTTGAGAATATCTCCTACACAGTCCTGAGCTATTGCAAGACAGCTTGTCTTTCCAAAATCACCAAAGCAGCATTTACTGAAGTAAGAACAAAACTGTTGGCTGCACAGCCTGCTTAGAACTGAGGCTACTTTAGACGTTTGATGGTGAAACATCATGATGGAAACCGCATTTTCTCACAAGTTATTTTTAGTCAGAAAAGGATGTTAATAATAATGACCAAAGAGGAAGACTGATGATAAATAACTTAATTTTTTGGAAAAACTAACTTTGGGTCTGTAGTAATCCTGCTACCCAGGACTTGAAAGAATGTAGATATTATTTCCACGTATTTTGCCTTGATTATGCTGACAAAAGTTCTAATAGCTCATCACACGATTATCACATGCACTTACACACAAAAATATTCAGGAGTATTTCAAAATATTCAGAAGTATTTTAATAGCACTAAAATGTAACTAAGCTCTGAGCAGTTCAGACTGGCTCAAAACCACTGAACAGCAGATGGCAGACTTGCAGCTTCATAGATGCTTTTCTTTGCTAAACATTCTGATTTCCTTTTTTCCATTTGATATTTGCAGATTGTTCATTAGTTGTATGTAGTCAGCTGTATCACTGGTTACATTTTATCTATTGCATCTTCTGGCACTGTACAATAAAAATCCTTCTGTTTTAACAGATTTTGGAGGATTATCTTTTGAAAAAAAAAATATATCCAGTATTCTGAGTATGAAATCTAAAGTCATTACTTGCTTCTGTATCAAAGGGAGATATAAGATAGCTTGTTTTATAAAATTGTATACAAAAAAAGATAAATTATTTTCTTTAACATCTCTAGTCCCCCTCCACAATTTTAAAACCACGATTAATTTTTAAATCAAATTAGCTAACAGAAATAGTGTGTCCAACCTTGCCACTTAAAATAAATTATATCCTTCTAATATTTATACGTTTTAGATTTGCATGTTTATAGATTAATAACTACAAGGTCATATACACAAATAATTTGTAATCAGGCTTCTATCCACTAAAATTGAATGCAAAAGCTGCCATAGATGCTTTTAGCAATTTTCTCAAAATGAGTATAAAAATACACTATAAAATTTCTATCATGATGCACATTAAAATCTCTGTTCAGTAGGCCAGGAAAGTAGATTACCTCAAATGCAAATCCATAGTTTATATGTTATAAAAGTGCCAACATAAATGCGTCAAGACTGAAGAAAATTGACGTGTTTCAAACTCTCTGGAGAAGGAAAAATTACAGTTCTGTGTATGATCCATGCAATACCAGTTTGTTGTATCTCCTGCCACAGGTTAATAAGTGCCACAACAACTCAGGTTGAAAACTCCAGCATGTCTTGTTTCAGACCAGAACAAAGAAATGGGAAAACTGGCTGATTACCAGCAGTGAAAGCAAACCACGCTGCTTCCCTTTAAATAATGTCAGGAACATTTGGTCCCTTCTCAGGAGAGAAATCTTCTCTTCAAGAACTGTTCCCTGGTTGAAGCTTCCTTTTCACTCCTGATCCTGAATCCTTTTAAACTAGCCAGATGGGAATCAAACCCCTGGACCGACTCCCACCATACGTACCTAACTGCCTCACCAAGCACAGCCAGCTGCTCCCCCAGGTCCCTCCGGAGTCCATATGCATCCTTCTACTGCAAATTCAGGCTTGGGTTAGCAGCCTGACTGGCTGTGACTTTTTTCATCGAGACTGGAGGGAAAGCTGGACAACACTTGTGGACATTGTGTAGCTCCTAATTTCTAGGATTTATCTACCTGACGTATTTGAACACTATTTTTCACATCTGGGAGGACATGGTGCTGATTATAGCTTCTGCTTACGTTGTCTGCAAGGTCACCATCAACATTACATAAGAAAGTGCAAGCATTTAAAACTTCTCAAATGCAATAAATATTTTTAGTGTAAAACAAACCACAACAATCCTTTAGATATTATATTCTCCTGTTCAATTTAGCAGTGGAACAAAAAAGAAAAAAGGAAGTTCCAGAACCAGCCACTCCATCTGGCTTACTGGGACCTTCACAGTGCCCATGTTTGTTCTGTCTGCCCTGGTTAGTAACTAAGTGGAAAAATAAGGTACCTATTCCCTGTGCTTGGTTGTGATTCTGCACAGTTTTGAGTCTGGCCCACACTTAAGTCAGAGGAACACCCTCCACAGACAAGAGACAGCAATCCTCTCTCAGATTTGCTTCAATTCACATTCAGAAAGCTCTCATTCTGAAAAAAATGTGCCTTCTGCATTAGTTTGGGTGATCAGACTCTACAGTTATCAGAAAACAGCAGCCAAAGAGAGGAAGCATCTGTGCTGATGGGCAGCACGTGAAAGACTCCCAGGAACCAAGAGGCTGCAGAGACTTGTGGCCCTGTTGAATCCCCAAGAACCCACACACTCGGAACAGCAGGACTCGGCCAGATCTGTACAAGTCCATCAGCATGTGCTGCTGTCAACAACTGGTTGTATAATCCTAACCACACCCACGAGGGCAGTAGCTGTTACACCCAGACAAAAAGTACACGTTTATATGTATTTACATGCTCAAAGAGACAAATGACCCCTTGAGAGACTTTCTGGACACCTTCCCACAAGCCAGTTGTGGGCCACTATGACCCCCGACTTCTATTCTATTAATAGAAGCATTCTATTCTATTAATAATAGCAGTTCATCCTATTCTATTCATTCTATTAATAATAGCAGTTGAATCAATAAAAGGTGTTCTAATATTGGTTGCGATCTGTGTCTTGCCCTGACTCAATCCTTTATCAATGAAAAGTGAATGTACAGCAGGACACGTAGATTAAATCAGTAGCACAAGTTTAGGATCACTATTTAAAAAAAAAAAAACAAAACAAAAAAAACGAACCCACACATTTTTGAAGGCTCATATAAAGGAACACTTACAAAAGACAATAATTAACTGCGTATCAAGTGATTCAATGCCAAGTTCCTACGTGAGCTCTCAAATCATGGTAAACATCAAATGATTCAAGCTGTCTGACATCAGTACCCTCTGACAGTTAATCTCATAAATGACTTGTTCTTAGGTCTGAACCCTATGGTCCTGTTAGAATAAACTGGCAGCAAATGATCTAAAAATATCAAGAATATAACCAAATATGACCAAAGATCTGTTTTAGAAATACTTTCAACATATATCTCACTTGACGAATGGAACATGTAAGACGTTTTTTTTCTTTCTATTCAGGGACCATACATGTCCCTTACAACATCCTTTCAGGAACTATGCATTCCATAAGACCTTTATTCAAGCCACAGATGCTACATACTGACTATCACACTGCAGTGCTAACCAACTGTTGGCCAGAGCAATATATAAGTCTTTACTGTTCTGCAGAGTGGTTCTTGCTTCCTGTGATGGCACTTTGCGCAAGTTCTTCTGTTTCTACAAACTTGTTCTTTGTATAGGGAGAACATGTGTGTGTCAAGACACAATAAAACAGATCTTTCAGTTCTATGTATTTTCCCAAATACAAGTGAAGAACAAGATATTTAAAAAAAAATAAGATCCTGTCTCAGGATAAAACTACTTACAAGAGAAGGGAAGAGGGAGGATGAGGACAAAAAAGCAATCTGCACAACTGAAGAGAGATCCAAGGTTTGCTATTCTTTCTTCTTGTTAAACACGCAGGGAAGATTCAGAAAATACTGTGCTTATTTTTATGTAATCTCTCTCTACTTGTGTTTGCCTGTCTCAAAGGAAAACCACCAGGAACCAGTATGGTCCCTTGGTAGTGCCTCAAGCATCCATGGAATGTATTCAAATATTTTTTTTCTTTACTATCAATAGCCCTGCCTTAGTAAACATCTCAGGAAGAACTTCACAAACATATTTTTCTTAGAGGAGGAGAAATGGGCAAGTGAGGAGCAACGAAACTTACTTTCTGCTTCATTTGATTATGACACATTAAAGCTGTCTAGAAAGCCAGACAGAGCCCATTTCCCCTCTATGCTAAACCAGAACGAAGCCAATGGTTTCATCTGCTGCAAAATCTGAGGGCCTATATCAAATACTCTGGATAGTTAAGTGAAGTTTTAAATTAATCTTTGTTTCTGCGCATTTTGATGTGAAAGCAAAAAGTGGGCACAATCACCTTGGTCAAGTCCTGCACTGAATTTCTGTATCATATACTATCTACAACCTACCTTGATTTAACATAACAGGACAGCGCAGTGGGCCCAGTAAAGAATGTAAGGTATGCACTTTGTGCTTGATTGCTTAAAAGAAAAAGACTTTGCCCTCTTCCCTCTCAAGGACTAGCATGAAGTCAGGATACCTAGTGTAATTTCTAGGACCACACAATGCACAGCACTGTCATTCCAAAAACTCAGCTGTAATTTTTTTCTTGAGGCTTGTTCCAGTAACGTATCGCCAGTTCGGTTCTTTTTATTCCTTCTGTCACCACTATGAACTTAACAGACTTTTAACCAAAAGCACAGTGCCACCTACTGTGCAGTATGAGTCACCCTGAAAACAAATAGAAATTTTTGCTGATGAACAGACACCTGAAACAAAGACACATGCTTCTATAAATCCTAAAACTTGGTACTATATAAATTTTGTAAACTGAGGTAAAGGTGACTTATACTAACCAGTTTAATTCAATGTGTAATATTTAAAATAGCCATTTACAATACAAGTTTTTTCAAAGCGACAATAAAATTCTTTGGAGAATATATACACTTATTAAAACTTAGTCTAATCAGATGTACTGGAAAACTAAGAAAGAGGTCCCTTAACTGTGAATTTATTGTGAAAGCAAATTAATTCTTAACACTGGAAAAAGAGAGTTTATAGCACCAGCCAAAGTTTCCGTGCCAAGTTTTAGAAGAAAACTTGGCAGCCTTTCTTTGTAGCATTTACATCTAAATAAGTATCCACACCACAGCAACTTGTAAAAACATGATCACAAAAGAGTCTTCTCAGTTCTAGAAATACTCTAAATCTTTGAAAGAAATCTAAATCCCCTCTAAAAACAGTGTTCAGAAACAGCAAAATTACTGAGCCTGTAGCATTTTAGAAGTGTAAAGTCTGATACATTGGGATATTGACAAAATATTTAATATAGTTACTTTTTTAAAAATTGAAGCTTTGTAGTGCATACCGCCTTGAGAAATAATTCAAACCAGTACTATAAAAAATGGTATTATTGTCATAAATTAAACTGAAGACTAATTCATTCCATTTATTCCACGTATCTGTAAGCAGAGAGAAACAATCAAAATGCAGTGAAGGAGTCCTACTCAAGATCATCGAATATGGTTGTAGGACCACATGTTGGGAAACTACGGGCAAGAGTGACTGCAATGCAGCAGACTTTTTACAAGTAGGTAGGTAGATCACTGTATCTGAAATTTAAAAACACCAAAAGCTGATTGAAAGCCGTCACTATGCAACTTTGCATACACAAAATAAAACAGCAGTCTAGACTTATGGGACCTGGTCCTACTGCCCTTACTCACCCTGGCAGCTCATTATTTATTTGAAAAGGATTGGGTTCAACCCTACAGGAGACAACAAAGCTGTATTCAGGCTCTGGCCTCTGTGACTCAGCTTGTGAGACTGCTGTAAAGATCATAAAAGCAGTGAAACGACCCAGATATTTAGAAACCAATTACATCCCATCTGCAATGGATATGCTGACTCCATAAAAATAATATTTAATTCCCTAAAGGCAGGCCAACAAGAATCTTAAGCAAACGAAGTTTTAAATGGAAGAAAGTCTAAGAGAAACACAAGAATGAAAAATTAAAACTACAATTAGGCAAGAAATAATTTGATTACTCCTTGTCTTTCCACACAGGCTTAAAAAATGATAGAATAAGCAAAACTTTTTTTTCCCCTCTTTTAGAAAGAGCAGAATCTTAGAATGACTCAAAACACTTAATTGCTTATTCAAACAACTGCATTTGTTGGAATTGTGTTCCTGCTTGTGTTCTGGGCATAAACCCATTAGATTTTTCAATGACATTAACTTGGAAGTTTATACTTTTACAAACATGAAAAAGCTCTAAGGTTAAACCCCCCAAAATTATCGTGTACGCAGAATTGTGAGTAATAATTCCCTAAACAACTCTTCAATATTTTGTCCTTTTGTGAAAGTCTTAATAAAAACTAATGCAGATCACTAGTACATGTTAACAGAAATATCACAGATTACGTGCTTTAACTAACAATTAATAAGAAGGTAAGGTGTGAAATAGTTTTGCATAAAATCAACGTTTTTGTAGATAGTTTCACAAGTGCATTTAAAAAAAAAAACAAACTTTGAAGTTACTAGAACAACATAACTGCCAGAAGAAGGTGGTTTACATGCTGCTGAAATTTGTGTGTTGCATGCTATAACAAAAGAGATGCAACATGCTTTTTCATACAGCCATATAGCAGCAGACCGAAAAATACTAAATATATCATTAGCAAAACAGTCTGGTGGATGCTGCTTGTGTTTTATGGTTTTGTTTTGTTGTTTTTTTTTTTTACCTTTATTGAAGAAGCTGCATAGAGCATATCCTCAAGACTGAAATGGCAACACTGGTTAAGGTATTCCTGACAAAATTCTTGAATCAACTGCAGATTATACAGGCTGTCAGCCAGAGACATTGTCTCTTTCAAACAAATATCTAAAAAGGAAGAATAGAAGCAAATATTAGATATAGTTACAGATTTGACAAAGAGTGCTTTTTGCTTTGCTGGATTCTGGAGCATTTTCTGGATAAATTCAGATTTGATTTTTTTTTTTACCCCCAGGAGACTTTTATTTTTCTGTTTCAGAAACTTAAGAAACGACAACTCTACATTTTATCTTTGCACTTTTATGTCTTTAGACATTTTTCTAAACCTTGTGTTTTTTCACTATTGAGAAGTTTATTTTTCGTCTGCTTTGCCTTTTGTTAAAATGGAAGTTATGCTCTAACTCCTGCAATTTCGATATAATGAAAAAACATATTTAATCACTAATGTACATTTTTCAATTACATTTTCTATACAGCAACGGCAGTAAGAAACGTATGTTTTTTCACAAAGTGCTCCATACATACTAGTTTGGTTTCTGTGCATAGAGACCCGAGTACATTTTAATGCTATTAACCCTGAATCTTCCCAAAAAAACAGCACCAGTTTAGTCTTATGTATTTGTTTTTGTGGATTTAGATGTTTGATATGAGATTTTACAAGGATCTGAAGTCTCTGATATATGAATTGTCACTCTCTGTTTGAAAGTGTTATTTAAAGACAAAGAAGTAGTAGCAGTGAACAGACTAGCGTGCAGTTATACAGTATTCTCTGAATACTGTTCACGCTCAACTAACCTCCTGTTATCTTTTTATGACTGCTTCTTAGAAAATTAAGTATCAATAATAACTTCCTAAAAAAACCACCAGTCCTTGTAAAAAGGAGGACTGAATAAAAGAAAATTAAATATAGTTCCAGAGCATACATCAGATTTTATTCCTAAAGCAACAATGTATGACAGAGCTCCACACAACAGTTTTAAATTCTTCAGGATAAAAGGTTTCTTCAAACAAGGAATCTACTTTGATGCTAAGCAGGACAAGGATTCCCATCCTGATGGAATCAGACATATTCCATGATCCCAACCCCATAGATGATGATAAATGAAAATAAATGTTTAACTAAACTGCCTGAAATGGGGTTAAATTCAGTAATGCAAAATGTGAACTCATGTATTTGGATCTAATAAAATTCTATTGTGATTCACTAGTTGAAAGTGATACAGTGTAGGAAGGTATCGTGTATTAGCCAATATAAAGATGTTTATGAGCTTTCAGCATTATGCAGCTATGAAAAAAAGCAAACATAATGCTAAAATGTATTGGAAAATTTATTTCCAGCAGTGACAGAAAAGCAGAAATGAGTTGCCAGTCTGGATTTCTGTGTACAATTACAACCATCCATATTCAAGAAAGATGAACCGAAACTGGACTAGTTGCAGAAGACGACTATTGAGGGTAAGAATGGAAATCCACTTCAGAAGGGGAGACTGAAAAGGCTTAGGTAAGTAGTCCGGCAAAACAGGAAAAAGAAAATATATCAAAAAGGTAGACATCAGATTAGGAGAAGCTATTCAAGCCAAATGGCGCTACTGGAAAAACAGCAAAGGCACGTAGACAGGCTACAAGCACATTTAGCACATAGAAAACAAGAATAAGATTTAAAACCATGCAAAAAATGGAGCACTGCAACAGTGGGTAAGAAGAGTATAGGTTTTAAAGTGCTAGACAGTTTTAAAATAGAACATGATAAATTCATGAAAGGGATTATATAATTTCATACAGTAGCCAATTTCTTGACTCACTGACATAGGGAGCCTTTTCTAGTCCTGTATTCCTTGAAGGAAACCTAGATTTGAAAGTTAAATAAAGTCTTAATGAGAAGAAACAATTATTTCAGACTACAGAGAAACTCTAGATGAATACTTTTTTTTTTTTGTTAATGCATTTTTAAGCATGTTTGCATATGCATTTTTGTTACCTGCCTTCCTGAGTTCCAATACAGAACCAAATCTCAGTGAAATTTAACATGCATCAAAAATGATACTTAAATACAGGGCAGGTGGGCAAAGTCTTTTAAAGTGCTTCTGGTCACTTCAGAGTACTTTTGAATTTACTTCTGAGACAATGACACATACGTTTACATATCTTTGGGGAAGATGATGTCAGGATACCTAACAAGAACATTAAAACTAAAGTTCCAAAGATGACATGTGCCTTGTCTTGTTTAAAGTCAGATGCTGCAGGAATCTGCTGGTAAATATATATGTGGTCCAGCAAGGTATACAAGATCCCTCAGACTGTCCATATTTTCAGCCACGCTAAAACATTAAGAAGGAACCAGGTGTTACCCCCATTCAACACTACCCAAGTTTTCACTGTTCCCTAATTGCATACACTAGTATATATTTGGCTGCAAAATTTATGTAAATTGAAAGTTGTACTTCACAAAATTCACAAGCTAAAGAAGAATGGTGAACGCATGTATCTTAGTCTTTCATCTTCAGCACCAACTGTGCTGGAAGCTTCCTATAAAGTGGTTGTGCAGATGAATTCCATATTTCAGTCCTTAGCAGGCTTTATACCCTTGTTCGTATTCCTGGATTTCTCAGGATGCTTCTGTGTAAGTGTTCCCACGACATCAAAGGTATTGCGGACAGAACACAGGCAGAGAACGATGGGTGTTAGCTGCCAAGACATTTTACAACTACATGAGCCTCTTCGTTGCCAAGAGGAAGATATGACTTTACCAGGCCACTGAGCAAAAGAACAAGATGAAGCTGCTCATCATCACAGACAATTGCTATTACAGGACACATTCTACACTATATATTTTTATTTACTCTATAAATGATACAGCTAACTATCAGGTGAACTAAAAGCCCAGAACACAGAGCAGCTATTTGCCACACAGTGCCGGTACGCAGAGCTTGACTAACTCTAACCTCTTCCACGTTTTGTATCTATAACTGCTCAGATTCACAAGAAAGCACTTATGCAGCTTCAAGAATAAGACTTTTCCAGGTGGTTTCAAGTTTCATAGCACAAAGGCAAATGTGTTGCAGCAGTCAGATCTGTAATAATGTATCTTAGTATGTTTATATTAGCGTGATAGGTTCTTTTTATTTACATGTAAAAATAAATAGGCACAAGGTTAGTATTACACTCACCACACAAATTAGGCCTCTTGTATATCATAATTAAGCCCCTTCCTTCACATGGTTATCAAACACAGACACTTCAACTTTTATGGACATATGTTTACAAGCTGAGAGACACAGTAGACATACCCTCCAGTTTAACGATATCTGGACAGTAGAAGTGGATCAGGGCTGCTAGAGCACAACCATCTGTACCATCTTTCAGCAGATTCTCCACCAATGGAATGCAGGGCAACTGCTTAAGCAATGTCTGCTCCTTCCTGTAACGAGCCTACAACATAGAATGAAGAAACTTAGAGAGACAAAGGCTCTGAAACATATGAAGAAACAGAATCGTACTGTAGGTTCTACACTGTTAGTGAAAAAGCAGTATTCAATAAATAGCTGGATATTCTCAGTGTTAAATTTCTTAAACCTATTCATGCTATGCCCCATTTTGAATGGCATAAATAATATCTAAGAAAAAAGGAATCTACAACGCTAATATCGAGCCTTTCCTTCAAAACTACCAAATTTTGATTATCTCTGTCTAGCACAATGAATTAAATAACATCATATACCTTAATTAACATTCAACACTCATTGTTATACAATCAGAAATTGTCTGTGTGTAAACACAATGAGACAAATCCTTAGCTGGCATAACTTCAGTTTACCGGCAAGTCAAATGAACTCTGTGAAATTAACACACCTAAGAATCTTGCCCAAAATCTCATTCATATAACTGACTCGATGACAAATTCAGAAACAAGGAAATCTGCATTTGATCAACTCCCTTTTTATTACTAGCATGTGTCATTATAAGCAGTTGTAAACGCAGAAAAGCATTAATGGTCAAGTGTTACGACCATGCAGTGGCCCATGGTCATATATGGCCCATAGTTCCTTTTATAAAAAGGAAACATTTTAAAAACCAACTCTCTATATAAAGAGATCATTAGTTCAGAATACCAAGATAGCATTTATCTGCAGTGAATATATTTTTCATGGGTTTCTTTTTTTGGTGGAAAGAAAGGGGGGCTTACATAAAAAATTGGTATTCATCATTGTTAGTTTCTTTTCACTTCTTCCTGGGAAAACAAATGGAGGTGGAAGAGAGTGATACAGTTTGGAATTGGTTAATATTATTTACTAAGACTTATTTGTAAAACAGTATTGAAGGATTACTTTTCTATTCATACTACGGAACTACTTATGATGCCAAGAGTGTTTCCGAGTTAATTTTACACTATCTTCATTCATCTATACACACAAAACTGGAAGTCTCCCTGTAGGGACTCTGAAGTCTTTGTGGATATTCCTCTTCCCAGCAAAGCTGAAGTTGACAGTTCCTATTTTCTACTCTCTCTCTTTTGCCTGTGCTGGAGCAATTAATTGCTGATGGGGCTGCGTGGTAGGACCACTGATCCAGCTACATCATTTCTCTTCTCCCTTGTTCCTGCAGTGAATGAGTGGGCAGAGCTGGAGGCTTTATGGGTGGGGTGGGAACAGTTTAAGCTAGCTTTGCTGGCAAAAAAACCCATCTGTGGAACCACAGACTAACCCTGAAGGCTATACTTACTGCCACTGGATTTCTGGCAAGGATCACATGGGATTATCTTTAGTGAATGTCAGTGTCTTCTAACTGGCCCAAGCAGTACATGTCTAATCAGACATCTTTAACCAACTGATATTTAGAAACCCACTGAGAGTTAGCCTTTATTTCATACTTGAAATGCACTGGTATTTGTGTGTCAAATGTGCTGTATAAAAATAAAAATGCCATTTTTGCATGCTATGGGAAATATTCACTAACACCAAACAAAATCATGTTAGTGTTTCATGCATTATTAATATTCTTTCCTCATTTTAGTAATACTTCCTACGATTTCTAATGAAATAAGCCAATTATGCTTGCAGTGAAAGTTCGTTCTTTTTCACTCTATGGCAATCCAATGACCCACTGATGAAAATCTCTAAGTTTCAAATACCACGTTAATATGTCCATGTACTTCCCCATCAAAATGACTGAAATTAAGTCTACAAAATATTACAATTTAATTATGAAACAATGATAAAAGATACAGGATACAGATGGACTCTAACATCACAGTCCAACAAGCCCTGTGTAACATATACTCTTTTAAATACCAATTTTTTAATGAAGTGTTCAAAAATATTTGAAATTGATACTACAGTGGTCTTGCACAGTAAATCCTGTGAAAAAGTCTACTGCCACTTTAATGATGCCTTCACTGGCCTTAGGGACAGCGCCTGCAGATGCTGGAAACTGTGTCATATCATTGAAGTGGACCTAGAAAGAAGACTTAATTCATTGTAGGGAGCATACCAGGCACATTACTTCAGGAAAAATAAACTCATATAACCTGATATACTAGGTTCACTAGGGTATAACAGGCATCGTGTTTCAATTTGGTTGAAAAGATAAAAGAAACGATACTGAAAAATAAAAGACACTGGTAATTGCACTGCATTTTTAATAAACTTCCATTTGAAGAAACTGTTCTCATCAGTTGCAATGTTTGCTAATAAATATGGATGCAATAATGCAAAATATGATCCTCTACATTTATTATAAAGCTCTAATGCTAATTTAAACATAAATGCTAATACAAGCATCTTGTTTCTGCGATCCTAAACCAGCCTGATTTAGCATCTTTGAACTTATTCCACTTAAACAAGTCTAGGGATAGTCAAGACATTTGCATATAAACATGGTCAGATAAAGATGAACCAACAGCACACCAGCTACTCTGTCACAAGTGCTCATCTGTACCCTGAGTTAATCATTAATAATGAACACTCTTATGCATTAACCATATAGTAGATAACACCTTATCAATTTACTTCTCCGAGTAAGTTTTCAGCTTCCTGTATGCTCAGGAATATCTGTCTCACTATGAAACACTTGCTCCATGTAAGGAAAGAGGTCAGAAGTCTGGCTGAACTGTTAGAGCAGCTTAAGCCACTGCCTTCCTTCTATACTATCAGGAGCACTTGGGTTTCAACTGTATGTCTACTAAACTAACAAGCTGAGATAACATCAATACCACTAGTTCAAGTTGTTTATGGATGACTGGTAGACAAATCGGAGTTAGCCTTTCAACAGATTGAGTATTTTATATTTGAATATCATTTTTATGCAACGGAAGAGAATCATTAGTAAACTAATGCCTTAGGCAAAAATAGAACAAAACCATATTCTGAATCTGCTTTGAAGTAGCCACCTTATTTTGTAGTAATGAGACAAAAAACTTAAAATGTGCTTAAATTTCTGATCACAGACAGCTCTCTTTTTTTTTTTTTTGCATTATCCTCTGCATTTAATTATGCTATCTTAATTCCAAAACTGTATTTGTGTGTGTCACAACTGTAACAGATAGCATTATAGAAAAATTGCCCATCTAGCATAAACTGTTATGAATTTGCATTCTGATTAGTCTACTGAAGACACTACTTTTAAACTGGTTTTCCAGACACCAAGTAATTTCTGTTGTTACCTACATGCAACTGTCTTGCTATGTTTAACTCTCTTTGCGATGTCTGAACAATCTCTTACTAGTTACAGCAACAAATATCTGAGGGACTAAATCAGTTATTTGGTAACCCTTAGATCAAAGATAGATGAGAACTATTTCTTTGGAATTCAGACCAGAAGCATGCAATGCTGCATATACCTAAGCAGCTGACTATTTTGTTCCCAGCCAAACTTGGGGTTGAATAAACAATCTGGATGCATGTCAGGGGTGAATTACTATATGACAGAGGAAAGTAATGACACAGCAGAGAGAAAACAAACTTTATTATTATTGCAGACCCGAACAGTTACTTTTTATTGCTTTTAGTGAAATTATAGTCTTACTAAAAGTAGACTGCTTTGGGTTACTTTGTCTGGGGAGAGATTAACAGCAGTCTTAAATCAGCTGAAAAATTAGGGAGTTCTAGCCAAATGGTGTAAAGATTGCATATTGTTAAATCAGAGAATTTCATATTCCATGTAGCATCAACAATCAAAAACTATTTCTGCAAGTCTCTTTTTAAAAGAGAGTCAGCATCAAATAGCATATGTTTACTGAAAGCTTATGAAAAGTAGTTTGCAAAAAACCTGATCATTTGACATTAGTCAATAACGGGTAGCACTGCCTTATTCAAACCCACAGAGAACTTGACTGCTTGAAAAGTAATTCCTTATCCAGCAGCATATCTTACACTTATTTTGCACAATTACCCTGCAAAACAAGGTTCTGTATTATGCACACCTTTGCAGAGCAATCTCTTATCAAATTATCTTGAAGAGATAAATGAAATGAATGATTAGACCAGCATGACATGGACAAAGCCATTCTCAAAACAAGCTAGTTGATCAAAGTGAAGCAGTTGGGCAAACTTACAGGAACCAGTTTCCAAAACCATTTGGTAGGAGACTTCAGAGGAAGCAGTAGGAAAAAAGAATAACAGCAAAAAGCAAAGAAAAAAAGGAACAATTTATCAGATTTCATAAATTACTTTAACATTCTCATTTTTGTATAACAGTGAATTGTAATTTAATAGTAAGCATCAGTGCACTGTAACCTCTGCATATTGAGCTAATTAGCAGCAATAACACCAGAGAAATATGTCTACAGTCTTTGTAGATCAACATTATAATTTTCCCACATGAACAGGTAAGATTGTCAGATCAATGCAGTTTTATTTAATGCTTTCACACATCTAATTGTACCCTACATATGCAATCTGACTGAAGAATTCATTTGAGACTTGAAGTCATGATATTGCAAGTATCAAAATGAACTCCAGCAGCACATATGGAGAAGCAGGGAAGCTAAAGCAATGAAAAAAGGTATACGCACACTGTAGTACAGTACAACCAATTGCAGTGAAATTTGCATTAGTTACTTCAAGTCAAACAGTTATGTTCATAACATCTAACAATATTTTTAAACAATCATATGACAATTTTCAGAACAACAAGAGGTGCAGGCAGTTATATTTTTGCAATGACAAATCACATTAGCATCAGCTGCATGATGTGCAATGACCTGAAATGCAGATGGAGGTTTGGCTACTGGCAGAGAAATGATCAGAGCTGATACATACAATTCTGAACTCATACGTGATCAAAAAATACAACACCAAATTATAAAGAAAAAGTTTTTAAAATATAAAATTTGACTTAAAAGCTTAATCTTAAGCATATTGAAGTCAGTGAATTTTTCTGTAACGGTACACTACTCTAGCACAGTACTTATACTATTAAGAACAAAAAATAATCATGTAACTTTATTATAAATACAGACAGAAAACTTCACCATTACTGATTTCATTGTAGAATTTTTTTTTTAAAATTCAAACCAATTACCAAAGTGCAGGAAAGAATTTTATTTTTCTTTTAATGAAGAGAAATACTTTATGGAAATGGTGAAGAAATAGTTTTAAAACTGCTATGGAAAAAACTGCTATGGAAGCTTACTATTTTACGCAGTTATTAAAATACTGCACTTCTATAAAACCCTTAAAATAACTGCAGTAAGGAAACAAAGCTTTTATGTAAAAAAGCTATTGTACACAAAAGGGTGTGCATTAGTAACATGCCTATTCTCAACATTGTTCTCCTCCATTTAACTGGGCTGTTAAGAGTGGAGAATCCCAAAGCCACTTACAAGAAATGAACTACGAGATGCATGTGTGTGTGCGGCTCTTGACATTTCAGTCACACCCAACTAAAGCACTTCCCATAGTGTTCAGTTGCTCCTCACCTCCCTGAAACGTAGTCAAGGTCTGGAAAAGCACACGAATTTGAAAACAAATTATCTTAATTTTCAACTGCTATCAGGAATTCTAAACCACATCACAGACCAAGGTTTTAGTTAAATGGGTAGAGATCAGACCTGGCCTGCCTATCATTCTACTTAACACCGATAGGAACAGTCTTTGATTTATTGAGGTGAAGCGTATTTCAGACTTGGACTCAAAAGGTCCATCAGTATCTATTTAATGATAGGCTGAAGAACTACTCTTTGGAAAAAAAGCATACAGCTGTGTCAATTCCAAAGACTAGCTCTCTGTTACAGTACAAACTGAACCCCAAACTAGCAATCCAATATATATTTTTATTTGTCCACTTGGCTGAAACTGTGGTTGAGATGACTCTCAATATGCTTCAAGAGGCTGAAAGACTGAAGATAATCAAGTTTAAATTCAAACAGACTATAAAATTTATAAATATACACTTTTTAAAGGCACTTAAAAAAAAGAGAGAAAGAAAAGCTGAAATGTCTTGGACAACATAATGGGAATTCACTGTCTGTTGAACTGGG